GGAGGCGGAGGTTGCGGTGAGCCGAGATCGCGCCATTGCACTCCATCCTGGGCAACAACAGCAAAACTCTGTCTCAAAAACAAAAAAAAAAAGAAGACGACTTGCCTCAAGTCACGTGGTTTTTTATATGGATGACAACTCAGGTCTGTGTCTCTGGAAGTCATGTCTAACATCTCACCTGGAGCTCGGAGAGCTCCTCAGCCCAGCCCGGGCCCAGGCTTGTCTGGGGTCCACGCCACACACCCAATCCACACACCTCAACATAGCCAGGGAAGCCAGAGGGGTTGTTCCCAAATTATTTCCTCTTACCAGTTATCTTGTTAATCTTCTCAGAGGTACTTGGCTTTCCGGAGGAGTACATCGGGGTGCACTGTGGGTAGCACAGCGGTTTCACATCATTTTGTGTGCCAGATGTTTCTGGCACTGCCTCCGAATAATTTTCTTCCTCTGGTGGCTCCCTGGGCACGAGCTTTGTAATGTGAAGGTCACACATAAATAGTATCAGTGGCATTTCTATAGTGCTTTAGAGCTTACAAAGTGTCTTCACAGGCATTACCTTAATCAATGTTCTCAACAACGCTGGGAGAGCTATACATACCTAAATTAGGAGAAACCTGGGAGGTTAGAAGGGAAAAGAATGGCCTAAACAAATGGGGTTTCCAGGGCTAGAATGCTTATCTTCACACTCTTTTGAGACTGACATCCTTGCCAACAGCAAAAATCTCCATGTCATTGAGAGTGTGGTGTACAGAAGATTTGGAAAAGAATAGCATTCTAAGAATTCACAAGGTCTACAAAAGGAAGAGCTTCTATAAAATACAAGGTATCCCATATAAGCTTGTAGACAGCTGCTGAGTAAACGTAAAAACAGAGAGACGGGACAAAACACTGCTGGAAAAGATGGTGTAGGGAGATGAATACAGGGAAGGGAGAGGCAAAGAAATGGTTTGCAGAAATTAGTCTAGGCAGCAAAGAAAACAGTACCGGATATGGCATACCACCTACCAAGGCACCAACAGTGAATGTGGAATTAACTGAGGTGGCACCCATACCAACTTTGGTTGCACTGGGATGTGTCACTGACCAACAATGTCAAGGTACTTTATTCAGCTTCCTCACTTATGAAATAGTGAAACAATACATGTAAAACAGGCTAAGGGAAAGTCCCCTCTAAGTTTGTAAACGCTGTTTGAATGTAGTAATAATAAAAGTTATTATCTTTCATGACCCTTCTTTGAATTCGGTCTCCACACTGGCAACCCAACTCCCAGATCCCTTTACCCTCTAAGAGTTGAATCTGCAGTTGTGGGGTCACTCATTCAGCGGCCTCTGAGGGATCCCCTGGGCTGGGACTGGGGCTTCCCAGATGCCCCAGGTGCAGACAAGGCCCTCAAGCAGCTCACAGTAGGGAGGGGCAATAGTGAAAGTGATTCCTAATTCATGTGAATGGCCTGGGTAACAGAGCAGAGGCCAGCTGGTCCTTTCTGTTGCAGAGTGGGTGTCTAAATGGAAGCACCAGCAGGCCCTACAGGGTAAAGCGCTAGTGAGCAACAGCTGAACTTCATCAACCAATGAAAATGTGAATGAGCTTTAAATGGCTTGGAGCTCTGGATTAGACTATCACTGCTACCGTGTCTCAGGTAAACTATTTAACATCTCTCTCTACCACGATAGCCTCATTTTATGATTTTGCTGATAACTGTGATCTGTAACATGAACTACGATTCTTTTTTCTTTTTTTTTGGAGACAGAGTCTTGCTCTGTCGCCCAGGCTGGAGTGCACTGGCGTAATCTCGGCTCACTGCAACCTCTGCCTCCCAGGTTAAAACTATTCTCCTGCCTCAGCCTCTGGGGTATCTGGGACTACAGGCACATACCACTACGCCGGGCTAATTTTTTGTATTTTTAATAGAGACAGGGTTTCACGGTGTTAGCCAGGATGATCTCCATCTCCTGACCTCATGATGTGCCCACCTCAGCCTCCCGAAGTACTGGGATTACAGATGTGAGCCATGGTGCCTGGCTAACTATGATTTTTACTTCCATTTCATGGACCAGGAATCTGGAGCTCAGAGAAATAGAAGATTTGTGCCAAGTCGCATGGATTTTATACAGATGACAACTGAAGTGTGTGACTCATTATTTGGAGATAATAATAGAAACAACATTATGGAGGTTTTCTTAAGGATTAAATAAATTAATCCATGTGAACCGCTTAAAATAATATCTGGATCACTATGAAAACAAAAGAAGTATTAACCATCACAACTGTTAGTATTATCAAGCCATCGATGCTATACCAGGTGTTGTGATAAACGCGGGGAGAAGGAGGCAGTGAGGGCATTTTTGATATTCTTCCACTCTTACCAGTGTTCACAACCATGGAGGGACAAAGGTCCTCTGGTACTTTAAATTTGGGAGATGCTCACCTGCGGGAAGAGTCCCTGGAACATGCCAAAAGTCATCGTACGACGTTCAACTGAAAGAGAATATATCAGAATTTTTCTTTGTTGGTAAATATTTCCAAACTCTAGAGAGACTTCCACAGCATCAGGGTATTCTGCAGCAGAGGGTTACGAGTCCACTCATTGTTGAGGAGTTGAGGTTTGCTTCTGAGTTATCTTTAGCAATGGTTGGTGCACTTACCTGTGGCATCAATTCAGAATTTTCCTTCTCATCATTTAGCAAATGGGGACTAAACCCATCACAGTCTCATCTTATTCCATTACATGTCTTTTACTTTTCCCCAAATAATTAAATTGGTTGGGAATCTGAACTGTATCCACTCAAGATATGCAACAACTAAAAATCACTGTACACTTAAAATGGGTGAATCTTATGGTATGTCAATTAAGCTGTGAAATGTGTGATGAACCCTGGATGATTTAGTCCAGTGGCTCTGAAATACTTTCAGTAGAAAGACACTCCTTTAATGTCAGAAACTTGGCAGATACTCAAGCACTGAATTTTCAGACTTCTTACTAGTGATTATGGGAGATTGTAGAATCTGGCTTCTTTACCTGGGGAATAATAGGTCTACCGGACAGTTGGGACATTCTAACCTTGTCTTATAATTGTGTTGTCAGAGCAGAAGAGCAAGTAAACACAAATGTCCCCTTTATATACTGAAATGCACAAAGATCTCTAACCTGGAATCTGTCTTTTTTCACCCTACATCATCTCTGCTCACTGACTAGTGGGAAAGCTCTCTGTATGTTGGATGAGGGATCATTCTTTCAAACCCTCTTCCAAGCTCAACATGGAGAATCGGGGTTGTTTGGGAAAGAAAAGACTATTTGGTTTTGATAAAATACAGATAAACAGCAATCTTTGTTACATAATGTGTTTATCATCGTAAGAAAGTTATCAATACCTACATGCTGTTAATGAAACAAACTCTGGAAGTTTTTGGCGGATCTATACTTTTAGCATTTTCTTTTCACTTTTAACATTTTTTTTTTTTTGAGTTGGAGTTTTGCCCGTTACCCAGGCTGAAGTGCAATGGCACGATCTCGCCTCACCGCAACCTCTGCCTCCTGGGTTCAAGCAATTCTCCTGCCTCAGCCTCCCGAGTAGCTGGGACTACAGGCACGTGCCACCATGCCCAGCTAATTTCTTTGTATTATTAGTAGAGACGGGGTTTCACCTTGTTGACCAGGATGGTCTCGATCTCTTGACCTTGTGATCCACCCGCCTCGGCCTCCCAAAGTGCTGGGATTACAGGCATGAGCCACCGTGCTCAGCCTAAAAGAAGTATTTCAAACACACAGAAAAGTATGTGGAATAATATTGAGTCCAGTCAGATCTCAACATTATCCCACAACTATGTTAGATCTGATTTATTTATTCAGAATATTAGAAACACTATAAACAGGCCAGGCGCAGTGGCTCACGCCTGTAATCCAGCACTTTGGGAGGCCGAGGTGGACAGATCACAAGGTCAGGAGTTCAAGACCAGCCTGACCAATATGGTGAAACCCTGTCTCTACTAAAAATACGAAAACTAGCTGGGTGTGGTGGCGGGTGCCTGTAATCCCAGCTACTTGGGAGGCTGAGGCAGGAGAATCGCTTGAACCCGGGAGGCGGAGGTTGCNTAAAAAAAAAAAAAAAAAAAAATTGAACAGAACTCTGTAGGTGTTAATTTTCTTGAGACTTAAGAACCTTGGTTCATTAATAATAATATTTTCTTCCTTGCACTTTTTATTTTCATCTAAAGAATGCCAGATCAACTGGGCCCAAAGGCTCACTCCTGTAATCCCAATACTTAGGAGGCTGAGGTAGGTGGATTGCTTGAGGCCAGGGTGTCCAGACACCTGGGCAACATAGCTAGGCCCTGTCTCTACAAATAAGAATTTAAAAAGTAGCTGGGTGTGGTGACGAGTGCCTGTACTTAGAGGCTGGGGCGGGAGGATTACTTGGTTACTTGAGCCTGGGAGTTTGAGGTTACTGTGAGCTCTGATGATGCCACCTCACTTCAGCCTGGGCAACAGAGTGAGACCCTGCCTCAAAAAAAAAAAAAAGATTGCCAGATATTTTGCAATTCTCCCTTATTACTTGTTCCAGAGTCAGTTATATGTATACTGGGTTACAGATTCTTATCTTTATAGATATAAATATGTAATTATTCATATTCTGAGAAGTTTCTTTTTAACTTATTTATCTAACCTCATATAGCTAGTTAACTTAAAAGTGACTTGAGAGCCGGTATGGAGGTGCATTCTTTCCCCAACTACTCAGGAGGTGGGAGGACTGCTTGAACCCAGAAGTTCAAGACCAGCCTGGGCAACATAGGGAGCCCTAGACTCTAAAAATAAATAAATAAATAAATAAATTTTAAAAAGTGTTTTTTTGAAGAGTGACTTGGGCATCTGCTATTTTGTTTGCATGTTATTCTATTTGCATTTGTTTTGTTGTTTGCATTTAATTTGCTATTTGCATTTAATTCTAAATATAAATTAGGAATTTTTAAAGAAATTAAAAAGAGCTATTACATAAAATACAATTTTTCTCTCTTTCCCAGTATCTTTTTATTCAGTTTTCATAGGAATTTCTGCCTGCCCATAAATATTATCTAGATTAGCTTGAACAGACATTTGCCTTATGGAACCATAGGCAAGCATGGCATGGCAAAAGGGAAAGGGTGAATCCTGTGTACTTTAAATTTGTATTGCATGGGTTTATGAGAAACTATCATCAAAATTTTTTTCTAAGCACGTTAGTCTCAGTGGGCAACTCAGCCTGCTGATCTGGCTTTATGTGCAGTCACAGAAGAACCGAACCTATTCCTATTCACATCAATCACTGCTATGGGCCCTAGATCAAAGTATCGTAGCCTTAAATTTCATCAGTAACATCACTCCTCAAAGGCTTTTTCAAAAAGGTCTCCATGTTGACTATGTTACTGCAATATGTTATGTGGGAGAGGGGAATGAATTTAATGTATTATGAGTCTGCAGGAGGGAGGGGTCCCTGGAGAAACCAGAGAGGGATTCTGATGAAAGAAAGAAGGGAAGGAAACAAAGGAGGGGCAAGCCAGCATTGACAGGTTGGAGCCTCCTGGAGAACCTGGAGGCAAGATACCAGGTTCTGAGAGAGTCCAGCATTCGTGGGCATTCTGTGGCAGCACCATGCACTGGTATCTGCCAACCCAACAACAGGCCGTTGCAGAAAAATATTATTGTCCTGAATCTGCTAAAGAGGAAGTAAAGTCAGTTTCATTTTTCATTAGAAAAGTAGAAATGATAATAATATTTTCTTCCCCACCTGCTTCCCATTTTTCCTATTTGCTATATTTTGAGTTTGGGTTTGGCTTGTTTAAACTGTTGTTAACAGAAGGATTAATATTTTCCTCAAACTTTCCATATGAGTTCTACTTCAGATAATCTCAGTTCTACTTGCTTTCCTACTTGTACTACGAAATGAAAGAAACAAAAGAAATTTTTCTAAACCTATATTCAGTATTTCCCTTTTTAAATAGTAAAGAGTATGCTGGGCACAGTGGCTCGCGCCTATAATCTCAACACTATGGGAAGCCAAGTTGGGAAGATCATTAAAAAAAAAAAAAAAAAAAAAAAAAAAAAAAAAAAAAAAAAAAAAAACCCAAAAACCAAAACCACTATAAACAAGACACAGCTGAAGCTGTCTGTGCAGACCTCACCAATCCCTACCCTCCCTCCTCCACTTACAGCCAGTCTCCTGAGTTTGATGGCTTTTTATTCACATTTATGTTTTAATACATTTACCATTTACTTATTTATTATCCATAGTAATATATATTCTTGTTTTGCATGTTTTAGAATTTTATATGAGTGGCCTCCGTAGAACTTTCTGAATACATTTTTTTTTTACTCAGCCCTGATGTGTATGAGGAGGCAAATGCCTGAGGATCTCTCCCAGGCAGCTGAGCAGAAAAGCAGCTGGGCTTGAGGAGACCCTTTCCAGCCCTTCCCATCTACTCACCCAGATTCCCGGGGTTAGAGTCTCTATCAGAATCATCCTCCTGGGAGTCTTCGGCCTGTTTATTACGCATGAAAAGTGGGAGGGTGACCTGGAAACCTAGAAAGAAGCAAAATTCTTATTCCTTAAGAGACAAGCTTAGGCCTGGCGCGGCGGCTCATGTCTGTAGTACCAGCACTTTGGGAGGCTGAGGCGGGAGGACTGCTCGAAGCCAAGAGCTAAAGACAAACCTGGGCAACATAAAGACCCCCGTATCTACAAAACATAAAATAAAATTATTTGGGCATGGTGGCACATGCCTGTAGCCCAGCTACTCCAGAGTCTGGGGCAGGAGGATTGCTGCAGGAGTTTGAGGCTGCACTTGAGCTATGATTGCACTACCGCACTTTAGCCTGGGTGACAGAGTGAGACTCTGACTCAAAAAGAGAGAGAGAGAGAGAAAGAGAAACAGAGAGAGAGAGAGAGAAAGAGAGAGAGAGAGAGACAGGAGCTGAGAGAGAAAAAGAGAGAGAGAGAGAAGCCGAGGGTGGGGGCCAGGATGCCATGGACAGTTGTGCTCATCAGAACAGACGCCTACGGGGGAACCACGCAGGTCCAAGTATGAGCTCCACTGGCCAGTCCCTACCCTCAGCCCTGACAGGCTACAGAGGAGTAGAACACCCAGAAGCTGGCTTGGGATTTTTCCCTGCACAAAAGGAAAATGTGGGGTACTTTCGGCAGCCTGAGAAGTAGCCAAAGCAGGAAAAGGGATGCTCATGTGTCCCCAGACTTGGCTGTATCTAGAACTTTCTGTTACCTAGTCTACTCATGGCCTCATAGTTCCTCTTCATGTACACATAGGTGATTTTCTCCGAGTATTTCAGCTTTTCCCACTCTTTCTTAGAGAAGTATTGGGCAATATCATCAAAGGCCTAGAAAATAAAAAGGAAAAGAAATTCTGGCAGTCACTATGCTAGGCATGCCTGCCGTCCAGGGGGAACCGCTTCCTCTGTGCTGGATGTGGGGATGGTAATCCCTCCTGGTTGATGCCACAGGGAAGATGGCACGGGTGATCTTCCCTAGCTTCAATATTGCTGGCTGGCTCTCTTTCCACCTTCCAGAATGGACTGAGAGTCACCAAATGTAGTGCCAGATAACAGACTTGTCCCCAAGGATGCTAGGTGATGACAGAGCGAGGGTGGGAGACTACCAAGGGCCCAGATCTCCCGGAGACCCTGCCCCTTGTCCCCAGCACCTCTGTCCTCCCCTCCTCAGAAACTTGGTCACCCTATACTGTCCCCTGTGCCACTACTCTGCCCCTCCAGGTCACCTCACCTTGCGTTTATTCTCTGATATTTGCTCATCATCACCGGGTTTCTTTGCAGAGCTGTCATCTCCGTTCATGGCTCCGGGAGCAGTCTGACCTGCAAGAGAAAAACAGCCTGAGTTAAAGGCCCTGTGGAGGGGGAAATCACTGAAGGCCGGCCACAGTCACCTGGAGTCAGGTGCTGCATTTCTCCATCCGTGGCTTATCTGTTCCCGAGTAAGGACATGGGGAGAAGTCAGATCAAAACAGGGAGCCAAGGGTCTCTGGGAGAAGTATTGATTGGGGATGACAGCTTTCCTAAGGGCAAAGCAGCCTTGAGTCTTTGGGACGGGGTTGGCTACTGTTGTTGTTGTTTCCCTAGAGACAGACTTACCCTAAAAGATGTACAGGCCCTTGTTGGGGAGGCAGGGACATGACTGTGTAATTTTATTGAGTGGGGGCGTTCTGACACCTCAACTCACTAAAGGAAGGAAAGTGAGTCCCAGAGATCACATGGTCTCTCTGGTGATGGATCTGATCAGGCAGAGCGATGGGGGGTTCTGTTCTGTTGAAGAGAAATGAACATTGCTAATATGAATGGATTTAGAGTCTATTACTGGACTATGTGTAAATTATTAGGAGGAAGAGAGCTAGAATCTCTGAGACTGTGAGAGCGCGCCATCACTTGGAGAGAATGTGGGGCATTTCAAGATGCAGCAATCAGCCAGGTGCAGTGGGCTCAGGCCTGTAATCCCAGCACTTTGGGAGGCTGAGGCACACAGATCACTTGAGTCCAGGAGGTCGAGGCCAGCCTGGGAAACAGCAAAACCCCCATCTCTACAAACAAAAAAAAAAATTAGCTGCGGGTGGTGGTGTAGGCCTCTAACATCCCAGCACTTTGGCAGGCCAAGGCAGGGGGATCCCAAGATCAAGAGATCGAGACAATACTGGCCAACATGGTAAAACCCCGTCTCTACTAAAACTACAAAAATTAGCTGGAAGTGGTGGTGCACGCCTGTAGTTCCAGCTACTTGGGAGGCTGAGGCAGGAGAATCACTTGAACCCGGGAGGCGGAGGTTGCAGTGAACCTAGATGGCGCCATTGCACTCCAGCCTGGCGACAGAGTGAGACTCCGTCTCAAAAAATAAATAAATAGGCCGGGCGCGGTGGCTCAAGCCTGTAATCCCAGCACTTTGGGAGGCCGAGGCGGGTGGATCACGAGGTCAAAAGATCAAGACCATCCTGGTCAACATGGTGAAACCCCGTCTNCTGAAGTGCAGTGGCGCAATCTCGGCTCACTGCAATCTCCACCTCCCATGCTCAAGCGATTCTCCTGCCTCAGCCTCCTGAGTAGCTGGGATTACAGGTGCCCACCACCACACCCATTTAATTTTTTGTATTTTTAGTAGGGACAGGGTTTCACCATGTTAGCCAGGATGATCTTGATCTCTTGACCTTGTGATACGCCCACCTAGGCCTCCCAAATTGCTGGGGTTACAGGCGTGAGCCACTGCGCCCGGCCTGTATGTGACTTTTTAAAAAGTCAAGCCATACAGACAATGAAAAGCACAAAATGATAAGCAAACACTCCCCTCCCACTCTCAACTCAGTTCCTCTTGCTAGAAATAAACTCTGAGAAAAAAATTTGTTAATTGACTAAAGATTTCAAATCCACAGTATTCCAAATTAAAATGCTGCATAATAGAGAAATGTTTTCTAAACTAACACATCCATAAGCACAGGATGGATATAAATTATTAACATTCTCATGTATCTGGGTCTGTAGACTAAGAAGTACAAAGGATCTCAAAGCCCTGCCAAGTCTCCTTCACTTCACTCAAATGGAAGGACCTGTTAATATCTCAGGACTTAAGAACTAGACTCAGACCAGAAGGCAGAGAACTTAACCGACTATTGCTTTCACTTTAACACCCATGTCATGGAGCTAGAGGTGCTCAGAGCTACCCCCGAAATTCTTGGCCCTCATCCTAATCTCCAGACAATAAGTTCCCTCCTTTTCTCTCCCTTTAGGAAGAAGACAAGCCTACTCTATACGTGTTCAATGCTGTAACAGAAGACACAATGCCAATAATGGAGAGCATTTCCCTTCTTGACAAAAAAGTGTCTGACCTGAGAACACTGGTAACTCTGAGATGTGGCCTCCCTGTGAGTGTTTACTGTCTCCGAACCCCAAAGGGACTGGAGATGTATGATTGCAACACGCTCAAGGACTACCAGACTGATATTGGTACCGCTCAGTATATTTGATATCAGCTACCATTCAGCACTAGGGTACCTTTGACACCAGATTTTGCAGCTTTTCAAGAGAAAATGGAAATCTAGATTTTCATATATAATCTGTCAACTTTATTTACATATCCACTTTAAAACAGTTACTACATTTACATGGTTTAAATACCAGAGTGGAAAAGGATGTGTAGTGGTAAGCCTCCCTCCCTCTCCTGGCCCTCCAAGCACTTAGTTCCCTCCCCATGGGCAACCATTATTGTTTTGAATATTTACAATCAAAAGTATTTCCAAATTAAACCTCAACAAATGAAGGCAATATTTCTAATGGAAATCTCTGTAAGTTCAGTGTAGATATGAATTATCAACATTTCATTCTTGTGTCTAGGTCTACAGACTAAGACATAAGGAGGGTCTCATAGGCATGTGAAGTCTTATTCTCAAAGCAGATTCATTAATATCCTCAAGCGGGGGAAAGCAAAACTTAGACCACTTCATCTTTTTCTCTCTCAAAATATACTTCAAGCATGTATAAATGCAAGTTGAAGTACATATTCCCCCCTACCTTTTTTTTTTTTTTTGTTTTTTGAGACAGAGTCTCACTCCCTTGCCACACTGGAGTGCAGTGGTGCAATCTCAGCTCACTGCAACCTCTGCCTCCTGAGTTCAATCAATTCTCCTGCCTCAGCCTCCCAAGTAGCTGGGACTACAGGCATGTGCCACCATGCCCAGCTCATTTTAGTATTTTTAGTAGAGATGGGATTTTGCCATGTTGGCCAGGATGGTATCCATCCTTGTGATCTGCCCACCTCGGCCTTCCACAGTGCTGGGATTAAAGATGTGAGCCACCACACCTGGCCCTCTTTTTCCCTTTTAAAATGCAAGGTAGCATATGATGCCTGCTATTCTGAACACTGCTTTGGGCAATTTTATCTTTAAAATGTTGCTGCTTATGTTAAAATAATCTTTTTCCCAATGTGACACAATGCTGTACTGGCTGAAAACCTGCCTTAGTGGAATGGCGTTTATACCTGATAGAAATTACAACCTCTCTTTAAATACTATACCTCGGCTGGGCATAGTGACTAGTGATTCATCTGTAATGCTAGCACTTTTGGAGGCCGAGGGAGGGGGATCACTTGAGCTCATTAGTTCAAGACCAGCCTAGGCAACATGGTGAGACCCTCATCTCTACAAAACATAAAAAAAAACAGCCAGGTGTGGTGGTGCACACTTGTGGTCCCGGCTGCTTGGGAGGCTGAGGTAGGAGAATCGCTTGGGCCAGGAGGTTAAGGCTATAGTGAGCTGTGATCACACCACTGCACCCCAGCCTGGGTGACACCAAGACCCTGTCTCAAAAAATAAAAAAAAATCTGTACTTCCAGGTAATATCTGCTGTAGCCAAACATCAATTTAAAAAAGGCTTTCAGATTTGTTTTAAGCATGCTAAAAAATGGTTCAACAATAGAGAGATTAACATGGCCCCTACGTGACAATGACATACAAGTTTGTGAAGCATTTCATATTTTTTTAAATGGTTGGAACCTTATAGAAATTATTACTTGAAGTATATAAATCCTTGCTGACAATCAGCACATCCTTAGGTAACATTGTGTTTATAACATTGCAATGAAATTTGAGTTCTCCCAACATATACATAGGGCTTTGTAGGTGTCCTTAGTTAAGTAGTTTTGCTTCATATAACTGGTAAATTTGCATTTATTGATACTTCTACTGTTATATTTGCTTGGCATTATTCTTTCCTGTTATTTTAAATTAAGAAGTTCTGCAATTCGTCCTCAGAGTACTTTGCTATAATGCACACATCTGCTCTGCATGCTTGCAGGAGGGTAAGCCCTGCTTAGAACATGATGAGGGCTTACATAAGGAAGGGCACACAGTGGCATTTGTCCCCAAGCAACTGATAATCTAGTTATGTAATGAAGTACCACAGGGTAAAACAAAACTATAATAAACTCTGGATGACTATTCTTCAGGCCTATACTGCTCAGATTATGATGTGATGTGTTAAGCTGGAAGATAATTTGAATTGACCCAACCCCAACTTTTACAGATTTGTAAAAAAAAAAAAAAAAAAAAAAAGCAAATCTTCTGAATGATTAAATGACTTGCTCAGTGTGTGTCAAGGACAGCATACCTGCTCCTTAAAATGACTCTCTGGGAGTAGGAACTTTAGGAAATGAGGGTGTTCAGATAACAAAGTTAAGGATCTGAGCATGACCTGAGTAGGCTGCTTTGGCCACCATGAGAACACAGAACTTCCGAGGACAGGCAAGGAAAGAAGGACCTCAAAGGGAAGGGAAGAAGGGCCAAACTTTGGCCTCCTTCATATGCTTCATACCTTTGCCTAAAGCATAACTAATATCCCTTAAGCAGCCAGCTCATCTTTTTTTAAACTAGAAGGTAAAAAGAGTCCTTGATCAGCTTCTCTTGCAGGATTTCTCTTTCTAGTCAACAAGTCGTCCCTGCTGCTATCAGGAGTTGAACCTTGGCCCCTTCTCCAAAGGCAGTGGAAAATCAGAAGTGTTTAGAGAAGCGGTCAAGTCCAGGTTGAAAATCAAAGATTTAAGTAGCTCAATTAATCACTCCACGTACTAGCTTACACAAATATTTACAAAGCTGCCTCTGCACTCTGGGTGTCTACAGTAAAGTGATAGAAATGAGACATGTATTCACACTCAGTTAAAATGCAGTAAGTCAGCTCAATGCAGGCTGAAGTCAGGTAGGGAAGGCATTCTGAAGAATATATGGCTGGAGCACACAAAAATGTGGGAACTATGGATCATTTGAGAGGAGAAAGGGAAGACAGTCCAGGCTTCCAGGCCAGGAGAAAAGCACGAGTCACAGGTTCATAAGCATCGTCTTATCCCAGGGAAGGACAGAAAACAGGAGACTGTTCTGGAGAGTGAAGGGGCCTTGCTGAGAGCACTAGGAAACACAGCTGAGGGCAGAGGGAGGAGGGTCTTAAGGTGAGGGGACAGAGCGCAGGTTTGCTGCGGCTGTAGCCAGAGCCATGCACCTTCTGAACAGGAATGTTTTAAGTGAGGTTTAATCTGGTAGCAAGCAATATGAAATACAGAAAGGAGTGAGGAAAGCCTGCAGGGAGGGTGGTACACTAACTGGCATGTTTGATAATCCCAGTATTAATTAATTCCACTAGCAATGGAAGAGACAAATCTGAGAAACACAGAAGATAGAACAGGACAGAACATCATGCTAGATCACTTTTTTTTGTTTTTGAGACAGGGTCTCACTCTATCACCTAGGCTGGAGTGCAGTGACACAACCTCAGCTCACTGCAACCGCTGCCTCCTGGATCCAAGCGATTCTCCCACCTCAGCCTCCCAAGTAGCTGGGACTAAAGGCATATCCCACCATGCCTGGCTAATTTTGTTTTTTTTGAAATGGCTCTGTTGCCCAGGCTGGAGTACAGTGGCGTGATCTTGGCTCACTCCAACTTCTGCCTCCCAGGTTCAAGCAGTTCTCCTGTTTCAGCCTCTCTAGTAGCTGAGATTACAGCCACTCACCACCAAGCACAGCTAATCTTTGTATTTTTTGTAGAGATGGGGTTTCACCATGTTGGCCAGGCTTGTCTAGAACTGACCTCATGATCTACATGCCTCAGCCTCCCAAAGTGCTGGGATTACAAGCATGAGCCACCACGCCCAGCCAGTTTTTTAAAATTTCTTTTTAAAAGAAACAGGATTTCACCATGTTGCTTGTCTCAAACTCCTGACCTCAAGTGAGGAATTTCACCTTGGCCTCTTAAAGTGCTGTGATTTCAGGCATGAGCCACCACGCCCGACCCTAGATCACATTTAAGTAGAAGTAAGAACCAAAGCTCTCACCCTAGGACAGTGGTGGGGAAATTGATGAAAGGAGTTATAGGTTTTAAGCTTTAGATACAAGGAAACTCAGAGTACTTTTTAAAATAAAGTTACTCAGCTGGTCAGTTAGTGGCAAAGCTGTAAGTACACCTGAAGTCTTCTAATTCTCCTTCACTACTAACAAGGAACTAGTGCTTGAGTGATAGGTTGGGTTAGCAGATACTGATCCTGCCCATGTAGGTGGAGATCGAGCCAGGTGAGGAGTGCATTCTTCAGAGAGTAAATATAGAGAGGAATGTATTAAGGGCCAATGATTGGCACTCAGGACATGCTGAGGTCAGAGCAAACACAGAGTCAGAAAACGAGGCATGGAAAGCTATCACAGTCAGGAGAACTGGAACTCTGTATTGTAACAGATGATGAGGCTGTTTTCAAGGTGCTGGTAAAAGTCCAAAGACAATTCTTAGAAAAATAGCTTTGGATTTAGTTTAAAGGTCTTTGGTGGGCTCAGAGAGAACAGTTTTAATGGAGGAGATGGAGAAAGAGTTCAGGGATTAAGAAGATAAGTAATGAGGGGATAAGGGGATTCTGGTGGTAGATAGAACATATAATGACCAATTTATCATGAATCTATCATGCTAAACATATCTTAATATGTATTATTTTCTGACTTGAGGCTTAGTGGCACATCATATAGGTCCAATAGACACATATATATGCACACACACACACACACACACACACCCCTTGTCTTACAACAACCTATATGGTACCAAATATTCAGTTTAGCCCTGCTTCTAGCTCTGAAATCTCTGCCCTGGCCTTTGCTTTCCTCTTGCTTATCTACATAATTAACTGCTTGTTGTTCTGTTTATATTTCACATATATTCATAAACTGGCATTCATCCTTTTTGCAACAAGGAGTACCTAAACAAATGAGTGAACAAATTAATGCCTTTCCTTTACAGATTATACCAATCGGTAATCTTCACTATAAATGCCTCATGGGATATATTCATGGCTGCCTGGGCACATTGCTTCTGAGAAACCATTCAGGAGCAGGGTTGTGTCGGCTCAGATCCTGAAATCTGAGCTAGCTCCAGGGTCCTTTCACCAACCTTTAGGCCCATGGAGACCTAAGGTGCCATTTTAATTCCTTTTATTGGTAAGAAAACTGAGGTTTGGAAAAGTTAAGTGATCTGATCAAGGTCACACTGCTAATAAATGGTAATCATACACCCAGGATTGGGTTCTTTCCAACAATTGATACTGCCAAACCAGTATGCCTTTATTGATACTCTGATCAATGTTTTATTTTGTTTCCTGCGTCAGAGGAAGCTCAAAACAGAGAAACAATTTTTCCATATTCAGGAAGAAAAAGTCCAAATCAGATAGGCATACATTGACTCTTGGGGTATGAATGAGGAATCCAGAAACTTGGGAGTCAGAGGCCACATGTAGAGAGGTTGAGGATGATTGCCTAAATAGGCACTGTTGCTCCCATCTGCTGTCCTGTGTGGCCTGGACATAGTAGATATGTTTGCAAGCACAGAATGGGCAGATCTAGGTTTTGTAAAGTTAATACAATTTTGTGGGTCCTCTTTTAAAAAATTCAAAACTAAGACAAGAGAATTAGAAGGCTCTGTAGAAGGTAGTGAGGGGCCCTAAACTTATTAGTTTTCCTCTCTCTCCAGTAATAGGTTTTAGCTGCATTTTTTTTTGCAACATATAGCATTTTTCAAGTAAATTTCTGTTTCCCAACAGAATTCCTAGCTTATGAAGGAATTTAATATCTGGCAAAGAAGGCATTACAAAGCAACAGGGGTAAAAGGATTATCCAATAAACAGTCCTAGCTGACTTGCTTAGAAATTCTCTGGATATTCAAAAGTTGAGCATTATCAGGACTGTTTCATTGCACGGAACTGAACTGATGGTTATAACACCTGTAATATTTGCTACTAGACAAGGAATTAAAGTGAAACAAAATATAGGATCAGATGGGGATGCCCCACCAATGTGAAGAAGATTTAAATCGTACAGCCTTCTCTGTAGTTTTCAGAATCAGGTCTCATTCAGCAGTAGGCAGGCTGGGCTAGAGACAGCTGAGACTCTGAGGGTAGGCAAACCTCCAGAGAATAGGTAGGCCAGGAAGATCCCATCTATAGACATTTAGCAGGGGGAGGTTATCTTCAAATAAGTCTTTCTGGTGGAAGTGCTGGAATAGGCAGGTCAGTCTGCAACTGTCAGTTGGTAAGGCCAAGGAAGACAGAGGGTGACCCTCAGGGAGATCCAACAGGGACTTGATGCATGAACCAGAGCACCAAGGTAGTGAATGAATGAATGAATGAATGACACAAGAGGCACAAAAGTAGATAAGCTGATGTTGACATCAGAAGCTCTGACAACACGTGACAGAAATCTAACCCCAGAGATTAGGGTTCAGAGTAGGAAATTCATAAACAGAAAACTAATCTTAAAACTCAAAAGGTGGGGTAGAATATTGACATTCACGATATAAGGCACAAAGTGAGGACTTGCTTAGAAGTGACTAGAATATCTGACCAGGATGAATGGGAACACCGACTTCCTATGAACCCTCGAAGTCGCTACATCTTTTTTTTAGTTTTTGTAGAGATGGGGTCTCGCTGTGTTGCTCAGGCTGGCAAACTCCTGGCCTCAAACAATCTTCCTGCCCAAAGTTCTGGAATACAGGTGTGAGCCACTACACTGGGCCCCTGACCTAAATCTTAATAAATTCCCTCCTACTGGAATTAAGGTTGTCCTCTCGAGCTGGGGCTGGCTGGTCCTTCAAATGGAGACTGTGTAGTCTCAGCTGTGGCAGACTAAGGAGGCTGGAGTACGGGGCCAGGCTAAAGCTTTCTATTGCTCATTTGGGAGTGATTTTCACAATCAACTAAAAACATAGATCATTTCATCAGGAGATAAAATAAATGCACTTGGAGTGGTGTTTAAAGTCCTTCGTTTCCAGTGCATGAGAATTAAACATTTTATAAGAAAGTTTAAGTATAGCAAGAAGCTTTAGAGAAAATTGATCTATATTGTAGCAAGTATGGTCCATATTTTGAAAAATGTTTATCAAGATCTTTCTATAGAATAGTTGCAGAACTACTACTTTATGTTTACAGAATAATTCCAGAATTCTCCAGCAAGAAGAGTAAACTCTCCTAGCAGAGGCCCAGGTTATGAGGATTGAGGCAGGTGAGGGGGATGAAGGTAGTAATGCAGGTCAGGCTCTAAGACAAGTATGCAAATAGGAATCAACTCACAAAGTCCAAGTTCAAGAAATCCAAACCAGAGTAAGGAGTAGCAGAGGAAGAGCCCCATTTCAAGATTACAGGTTGTAACACAGACTGTCCAGAAAGAAAGGGACCGGCAGGGAGATATCCTCTGTTGTGTGTGTGCAGAGAGGAGACAAGAAGGAAAAGAGAGGGAAAGCAGAAAGGAAAGAAAAATGCAACTGGAAGGAGGGACTCTCTAGGCATTAGAAAGAATCCTAAAGACGGCTGGGCGCAGTGGCTCGTGCCTGTAATCCCTGCACTTTGGGAAGCCAAGACAATGGGTAGATCACCTGAGGTCAGGAGTTTGAGACCAGCCTGGCCAACATGGCGAAACCCCATCCCTACTACAAATACAAAAATTAGCTGGGTGTGGTGGCACATGCCTGTAATCCCAGCTACTCAGGAGGCTGTGGCAGGAGAATCGCTTGAACCCTGAAGGTGGAGGTTGCAGTGAGCTGAGATTACACTACTGTACTCCAGCCTGGGTGACAGAGCATGACTCCATGTCA